GTCACGGAAAAATCTAAGCAAAGTACAGAGTTCTCATATGTCCCCACACCACACAGTGTCCCTATTGTTAAGCTCTGGCTTCGGTGGGGAGCATCGGTTACAGCAGATGAGCCAGGATTCACGTTATCGTGAACCGCAAACTCCGTGGCGCATCCTACGGTCTGGGCGAGGCGCGATGACACGGATCTCTTACGGTGCCGCACCCAATAGTTTCACTGCCCCAAAAACCCTCTCTGCTCTGGCTGTTCATCCCTCCCTCTTTCCAGACCCCCGGCAACCACTGATATTTTTACTGTCTCCAGAGCTTTGCCTTTTCCAGAATGCTGATGGCTTTCCAACTACAGGAGTTGGAATCTTGCAGAACAGAGCATTTTCAGACTGCCCTCTCTCACTCACCAGTGTGCATTTAAGTTTCCTCCATGTCTTTTTGTGACTTGGCAGCTTGCTTATTTTTAGCACTGAAGTTCTCTCCTTACCTGCATAAAGAAGGTATGACTTCCCTGACGCCACCATCTTTTTGACAACTGTGTAGGTACACACGGAACTTATCATTCTACCCACAGCACAGGGAGCGGATCGGCAGTGTGCCATGAGCCACAGGGCTGCCATCCCTGACCCCAGGCTCCCCGTGCTGTGGGTGCTCCAAGACCAGCAGCACCATATCACCAGGAAACGTGTTAGAAATGCAGAGTGTCAGGCCCTTCCCCGGGCCCACGGCACCCCAGTCTGCATCTGAGCAGATGGAAGCACCAGCCCCTCCCTGGCACTGCACTGCAAGCTTCTGGGCATGCGGGGCAAGGCTGGCTTGATCCACGTTGCTCTCCCAGGGTTAGCACAGTGCTCTGGAGGACGGCAAGGTAAGAGCTCACCTTCGGGTGGGACGGTCCATCTCTGTTTAGGGAAGTCCAGTGGAAAGGGACCTTGGACCTCATGTTCCCAGCTGCAAATGCTCAGCCCAGCCAGCTCAGGGACGGGGGAAGGGACCAGAGACGCAGACCAGCCCGAGGGCTGGGGTGCTCAGGAGAGGCGGGAGAGGAGCAGGGGCCGTCCTGGCTGTGGAAGGCCATTTCCAGCATGATTCTCTTCTGCAGGTGCCTTCCAGCTCCAAGCCTGGGGGACGGGGGACATGAAGGGGGCAGGTTCCCGCTGCTAGGAGCACAGGTGCAGAGGTGGTGGCCACCATCACAGGCGGAAGGTCTACAGGGCGACTGGCATTACAGAGGGGTGGGGTCCTGCCTCTGGAGAAAGAGGAGACCATGTCCACAGGGAGGGGTCTTTAAGCTGTGTCTGCCAGTGAGAAGCCAGCTTCCGTTCTTAACAGAGGAGTGACACCTTTGTTTCTGGCTAGAATGTTTGTCCCCTGTCCCCCCGTCCTGCTGACATTATGTAGTCCATCAACAGGGAGGACCCCTGCCCCTGACAGAGCCCGGCTCACATGACTCCAGGTGCCCAGAACACCAGCAGGCCTGGAATCATCCCCCCTCCTTGGGCGGGAAGTCTGAGGTCCGGAGCGCAGGCAGGCACCCAGTCCACATGGCTGCCAGTGGAGAGGAGGTGAACTGTCAAAGGTACTGGCGAATTTTAGGGCTGAATTTGGGTTCCACCATCAGGCGATACTTTTCCAGACACATCCCACGGATCCCCAGGGGCTTGTTTACCAGGGCCTGGGTAGTCAACAGAAGGGCGGGGCTAAATTAGCCCATGATTAAAAGAGAAAAAAAACATTTCAATAAAGGGAACAGTTGTAAGGTGGTGCTCACAAAGTGAACTCCCTCCGTTTGCTTGTTATCATAAGAAACATCACCTGAGCGCCTTTTATACACCAGTCAGCCTGGTGGGGACTAAGGTTATCTTGGTAAAAAAGATGCTTTTAGGACAAAACCTGTATCAACCTGTAAATCTCTGACATGCCCACTGAGGAGACGGAGCTGTGAACCCAGGACCAGCCAAGATTGTACATGTTGGGATAGAAGCTTGCTGGGCGCAGCTCTGTACTAGTGCTCCTGTGCCAGGGCACGGCCTCCACCTCCTTGCTGACAAATGGGGGTGAGAGCACAGCCTCTTCCCGCCTCAGGGGACTGCCAGAGAGACTAGAGATTGTCGCAGATATGAAAGCCCTTGGAAATTTATGGAGTGCTAAGCAAATGCAAGCCTGGTTATTTTGTCTGAGATATTTTTCCTGTCTGCAGCTCACAGCAAATAATACAAGATTCTTCTCACCTTCGTGAGCATTACAGGCATAACTTGCAAAGTTGCAAATAGGAGGCCTTGGCTGTCAATCAGTCCAGGCACAGTTCCCCAGTTGATAGGTCATTTTGTAGCAAGTTGTCTGGGCCCACTTCCTGCTGAGGTGAGCTTCAGGACAATGAACGATTCAAGGGATGGGCGATCTGCTGAAGCCATAAATTCCCAAATTTCCACCAACCTGTAGGCACGTCTGCAAATAGGTGGGGTTGAAAAGGAAGCAGGAGTCACAGGCATGGGGGGCACATGCCTCTGGGCAGGCTGACCACGCCAGGGTCTCCGTGACCCTGCCTCGGGGTGCAGCCGTCAGATGAGCCCCAGACCCCAGAGAGAAGGGGTTTAGGCCACCCTGTCATCGGGCTGTGTCCATGCTTGGCATCCAAGCATCCTGGGCACCTTGCACTTAGCCTCTATCAGTGACCTGTGGCCGCATGGCTAACACCCCGAACTTGGAGGCTTAAAACAACACGGTGCTTTGGGCTGGTTCTCCCCTGGGGCTGCTGTGCCCTACAGGTCTCCCGGCCCCCTTGAGGTGCCAACACCGAGCTGCAGGCTGAGGGCTTGGACTCCGCCCGGAACTCACGGTGACCCTTCTCTGCTCCATGCCGCACATCTGTGGGGGAGCAGGAAGGAAATGCAGCCTTAGGATAGCGGGACTCTCTGGCCAGGAAGGCGGAGCCCCATCCCCAGGTGCCACGCCACCCCCCCACGTGCCCAGCCCCACCTCTTGTGCCCACCCCTCTGCATCCCACACATGCCCCGCCCCATCCCCATGTGCCCACTCACACACCCACGTGCCCAGCCCCGCCCTGTCCCCACGTGCCCACCCACACCCCACACATGCCCTGCCCCTGCGCACACCCAGATGTGCCCCGGTGAGGCCGTGTCAGGCCGCAGTGGACTCCGCAGGCCACCCCCCACTTGCTTGGATACTGCATTTCTTGTAAAGTTTCCAAGATCAAATCTACGGCTTAGGTGGCTCAGACACAACGGGGACCCCCCTGGGGGTTGACCTCTTGCACCCCGTCTTTTGTGTGAGAAGCGAAAGCAGTTCTGCAGTAGTTGCCTCCCGTTGCCTTCAATTAGCACAGCGATTTGATTTCCTCCCCGCTGGTAAAATGGTCTAAATTCCTGGGAAGGCGGGCTCCCGGGACATCAGGGCTTCTGCTGGCAGGATCCCCAGGAGAAACCTACCAGGGGAAGCGGGCCAGTGAGACACCCCTCAGCGCGGGGCTCAGAAGCCTGTGCTCGCTCACCACGGTGCATGAACCCCACGTTTCCTGCCTGCCCCGCGGGCCTGGGCTCCGCTCAGAACACAGGCCCAGGCCGGGCGCTCACAGGAGGCTCCAGCCCAGCCTTCCAGCAGGAGCAGGACTTCGGCGTCTACACACCTCGTTCCAGAACACCCTCCCTCCTCAATGGAAATAAAGAACCGAATAAATAAAATGCTTCAAAGCACCTAGCTCTTCAGGGGCGCCCAAAACACTCCCCACCTTCCCCTGAAATAACCTGGAAGGCTCAGGGCCACGGAGCAGACACATGGCCCACAAACCTGCGCTGGCGGCAGCCATCAGATCGCACCTGGGTTTAGTGGAGCCGGGTTTTTTCTTAATATAAAGAAGGCTGGGGCAGCGAGGGGGCGCTGCTTCCCGGAGCCCTTGCCGGGGACATTGTAATGACGGCATCACTGAAGTGACGGTGAAATGCTGTTGTCCCTTTATTGTATCAATGTTGATAGTGGTGACAGACCCCAGTCCTGTGTGTATGTGACGTGGAGCATATAGGAACTCCCGCAGTTTCACAAACAGTTCATTCATCTGTGCAGCCACAGAGCTTTGGGTGGGAGGAGGCCCTGTGGCTGTCACCCCAGAGCTCAGCCAGAAAATGAGACGGTGGGGAGTCCGAGACCAGCTCTGCCCGCTCGGCTCTGCTCCTTTTTGCCCACCTTGGGTGAGGTACTGGTCCTCACAGAACCTCGGTGTCGTCATTTGTAAAGTGGAAGGGCTGGGTGCCACGTTTAGGGCTGTCTCTTCCTGGATATGATGTTCTAGTATGGACCCCGTTCTCCTAAGTACCTGGAAGTCTCAGGCCGGGTGTCTCAGGGACTGACAGGTGACAAAACTTGATCAATGCATCAAGCACCCTTGCCATGGCAGTCTCCTGATCTGTAGAATGGGTCTTAAAATGACCTTTTAGGGTATTCTGAGATTCAAGGAGATGAAGGCTGCAAATCCACGCAGCTCTGTGCCAGGCACGAGGTAGATGCAAAACTGGACAGCTATTGCTAAAACCAGACCCACACCCGGGCCCTGCACAGTCTAGCCGGGTGACTCTAAGAGGATGACACTGTCCAGCCGCCTGGGCGCCCAGTCCAGGAGAGCCCTGAGCAGGGAGGGAAGGTCTGGACACTACTCAGGGGTTCCAGGCTCGGTTCCGGCTGTGAGGCCTCAGGTACGGGGCTTTGTCTCTCAGACCTGTCTTGTGTCTGTCCAGTGTCGGCCCAGAGAAGGTGGGAGGGCTGAGGTCTGCCACCTTCCTGCTGTATAGCGATGGTCCCCCCACAACCACATCACCTTCTGCCTCCCCCACAAAGCCCTCAGGAAGATGAGTGTATGGAACTGGCATGGCTTCAAGCTTAGGACCCGAAACATTTCCAACCCCTAACTTCTGTATTTGCAGAATACTTGCATCCATTTCTTCCCATTATAAAAAAATTATAGAAAACAGGCACTGAAGCTCCTGCCCCTGGGCCTGAGTGTGGATTCAGAGCCGGGGAGCCCAGGGAGGTGGCTTCCTGGGAGATCTGAGGCCCCGACAGTGCCTCCTCCGTCCTGTGGTCCTCAGCACCTCCCTCCCGCTGGCCCCCGGGAGTCTGGCCCCGCCTGGCTGTCCATTCTAGCCACCACAGTTAGCAGTTCCCAGAAGCCTTTCTGCCAAAGCAGATTAACCACCTGGCAGGATTCTGGGTTCCCAGGAAATGGGGCCCATGGGCTTCCTCTCAGCAGTCTCATAAGCAGCTCCAAGATTTTTTGTTTTGGAATGTCTACAAATGATGTTCTCCTTTGCCTACATGCGCCTTCCAGAACATGCTGTATGAATTTTAAATTTGACTGTCACAGGCATCAAGGTTTTGCAATATAATGAGAATTACCACTAAGTGTGGGATGCAGCCCAGGAGATAATATTATTAACAACTATACCAGTCCTTGCATACATACTCTCCACTCTTCTGAATCCTTCCTGCAAGAAACCTAGGCAAGATATATTATTATTATTTTATTATTATTACTCTCTTCTTTCAGTTCACAAAACTGAGGCTCAGAGCTGTCTCTGGGGGGTCTCTCCTCTCCCTGGGGTGGAGTTAGGTCTCAGTCCTTTCAGCAGGTTGAGTTGGTGGCCCTCCCTGCCCCTCAAGACCTTAAAAATGTATGCCCACATCCTCAACCCCAGTGCCCGTCATGGGACCTTGTTTGGAAATACAGTCTTTGCCGATGTGACTAAGTTAAGGATGTTGAAATGAGATCATCTCCGATTCGGGTGGGCCCTAACTGCAATGACAAGCCATTTATAAGAGAGGGGACCCAGGGAGGAGGCTGGGGAAGACGGGGGCAGGGGCCGGGCGGGGTGGGTCTGTGCTTCAGTGAATGGCAGGTGTCGCCAGGAGCCAGCAGACCCATGAGACTGGCTTGGGATGGATTCTCCCTCAGCCTCAGGAGGGTGCCGGTCTGCCGCTGTTCTTCTCAGACCTCGGCCTCCGGGGGGCTGCGAGGGAATGACCTTGTGCAGTCCCAGGACGTTAACACACCTGCTCCACAGCCCCGCAATCCCCTTCCCGCGTGGCGCTCTGGGTTGGATTACCCGTTGGTTGCCTGGAACACTTGGGGGTGGTGTCAGCCTGGCGCGCAGAGGGGGCTCACGGACTGCTCGCTATGCGCAGGCCAGGCCAGGCCAGGTCCCTGGCTCCTGGGCATGATTGACCTCCTTCGTCTCCTCTGCTGCAGGCAGCCCTCACTGCTTGGCCAGGTCTACAGGTTCCCCTGTTGCCGGAGCAGAGCCACTCACCACACATTCAGAGAGCTGACAGTGGCGGGTAGCAGGGCCCCCGCCTTGAGCCGCGCCTCAGCCCCCTGGTCACCAGCAGTAAAGGATGTCATCAGTGTTGTCCCACCTGTCCTCAGAGACATGGATGCAGGAAGAAAGGAAGTCTTCAGCTGGGGGCGTTCTGGGCGCGGAGCACAGGCTCAGACGCAGGAGTGCAGGTGCTGAGGCCCGGGCCCTCCACCAGGCCCACGCGGCGGCAGGTTCCGTCAGGCCCCCGCAGAGCTCTCCTGCCCGCGGTCACAGGGTGCTCCCGCGCCCAGAGAGCGGGTGCCAAGCTCCTGCAGGGACCAGGCGGGCAGTTTCTCGGCCCCATGCCCAGGGCGGAGATCCTGCCAGGGCATGTCTTTGCCAGTGATGGGAATACTTCCCTTTAGTTCATCCCAAACGCCCTCCTTTGAAAACTTGTCATTGTCCTTGTGCAGAAAATACACCCCCTTTGGTGCCTCTCCCTGTTAGGACGCAGGAGGAAGATGACAAAGGCAGAATAAAATGCATATACATTTTAGAAAATGTGATATTTAAAAGGTAGTTTGTCCTCAGTCTGAGATTTTGACATTTGAAAGCCACATTCGATTTTTCTAAAAGAAAAAAAAAATTGCTCTATTTCTGCCCACAGAGAAAATGTGTACAACAGAGTTCTGCCTGGAGAAAGTACCACTCCCCTCCCATTCCCTCGGAGAGGCTGCGTTACAGGAGAAAAGGCGGGCCTCCGTCCTGCGCGATGCTTTAGGAGGGCCTGGGGCTGCTGTGCACCCTGGGTCCCCGTCCTGTGGGCAGCTGCATCCCATGCTGGGGCCCTGGGCTTAAGGATGTGGGACACTTACAACAATGCAATGGGTTTCAAAGTTTTGACTGAAGTGCAGCCTTTCCTGACCTGAGGGCTGGGAGGTGGGTCAGACCTGGTGGGCAGGTCGCTGCCGATCACAGAAGGGAGCGCATCTGCCCCAGGCTGGTGGTCTCTGTATGTCTGCCTCTCTCTGTGTCTTTCTCTCCGTGCATTATTGGGCAAAGCATGTGGGGATCACTCATGAGATGTTTCAGGGAGGCAGGAGGGAGGAAAAGGGGGTGACCCAGGCATCCCTGTCCACCAGGTCTTGCTGAGGTTACCTGGCTGAGACCTTCCCAGCTGGAGAGGACATGAGGATGGCTGGATTAGACCCAGCAGCAGACCACACCTGGTCCTACACCCTCTGCCAGGGCTGAGGGGCAGAGAGCCCTCCCCCAGCCTTCTGGGACACTGGGTGGGCAGACCAGATGGGGAGGTTCTTGCTAAGATGGAGACGGTGGCAGGCCACAGAGCAAGGCTCAGCCCTTGAGACAGGGTGGCATCCGGAGCGGGCGAAGTGAGGGCTGCACTTGGCCGGTGGGGTGGTTGGTGTCTGGAGGCTGGCTCGCCCCAGGACAGAGTGCCAGAGCGTCACTGGGCTGGGCGCTGGGGACCACAGGCTCCCAGCCCCAGGCCCCAGCGTCAGGAGGCCTGCCCAGGAAAGGGCCTGGGCCTGCCATGCGTAGGAGGCAGGCATGAAGTTGGTGTCCAAAGTTGGATAAAGCCCAAGTCCCCGGGGCTCCACCAGCCCAGCTGCCCAGGCTGCGGTGGGAACCGGGCTGAGAAGGCGTCACCTTGGAAAGCCTAAGGCAGATTCGGACCAGCGCTGGCTGTGTGTCGGACTGGAGGGGCTGTTGCCCTAAGGGGAACAGCTGCAGGCTGGAGCCCCACAGCCGGGGATCCTCTCAACCAGGCAGAGCCAGGAGCAGTTCTTGGAGCCACGCCGCAGATTTTGTGGTTTGTTTTGTTTCTGCTGTTCTCTCGCTTTGGTTTTATTTCTGGTTTAGTGTCTGTAAAAGTCCTGCCCAGGGACAGCGGGTGCGACAGTGAGAACGCGAGGTGCCAAGCGGCTTCCTCCCGTGGCTTGAGACGGCTGTGTCCACGGACTCTGCGCATTTGGATGTTAGAAGAGCGTTTGGCAAAGTTTCTCATGATTTCCTATGGATGAGAGGAAGAGATGTGCACAGGGTGCGAGGGACCCAGCGAGGGACCCAGTGGGGGACCCAGTGGGGTGGGCAAGGCTTCCCACCTCCTCACCACTCCTCCTCCGAGTGGTGTGGAAAGTGATGGATAGATGCTGTCAGCCAGAAAAAGGTGCGACTGACAGGGCCCCCCAGGACCACCCAGTGAGTGCCCCCAGCTCTGTTGCTGAAGTCTAGTGCCGGCTGCTCACCTCGGAACAGGGTAGTGGTGGATGAACCACACACAGCGCTGGGGGTGCCAGCCCACACCAGGCCCAGGTCAGCTGTTTTACGCCAGACAGAAGCTGCTGGCCCCTCGCCGGGTCCTGGCAGGTGCTGTCTGTGTTGAGTGGGGCGCAGACCGCAGGGCCTGCCTGCACTGAAGCCCCGAGGTTCTTCAGGACCTGGAGTAGCATGGTCTCACAGACTCCCTAACAGTTTATAGGGGAGTCGTTCTTATGGGTTTTCTGTAAATCTGACATGGATGTCCAGACTTACGCTGTGCTGATGTCACAGATGTGTGTCAGCACACACTCGTGTGCCCGGGTCTACAGCCTTGTCGGTGTGGCTCATTCAGCAGACACTCTGGGCGCCTGCTCTGGGATGCCTGTGCCTCTGGAAGGACCTCAGTCCTGTCCCCTGGGTGCTCTCCCACTGCCCCCTGTGCCCAGGCACACCTCCGGGTGGTTCACTGGGCTCAGAAGCACCTCCAGGCTCCCGCCCAGCTTCCCCCCCTTCTCCCTCAGTGGCTTCTGAAAAGATCTCTCTGAATCTCAGCTCTGATGGAGCTCCTCCCCCATGGACAGCTGGGTCCAGCCCCTGGCACTAGGAGGCCTGGGTCCCTGCCCGGCCGGTGCACACCGGCCCCGCCCTCCAGCCCGGCCGGGTCCCGCAGGCTCTCTCTGCAGACACACATGGCCTTTCAGCTCCAGGCTTCTGCTCCTGGCGCGCCCCACTGAACACTCTCTGTCTCCGTCTCACCCTGTTTCCTTCCCACTCACCGTCTGCTCGGCGGCTGCAGTGAAGTGCCCAGGCCGGGTGGCTTCAGTTCTGGACGCCTGTGCACCACGTTCTGGGGCTGGGGCTCGACCTCGGTTCCAGTTACCGTCCCACTGTGTCCTCACGGGGCACACTCTCGGGGCCTCACCTGAGCCTGCACACCCCCACCTCGGGGCCTGGCACCCCGCCTGTCTCCCCACCCCTCACAGTGTGTCATCCCCTTGACCATCTGTCGTGACTTCCTGCCCCTTCCCACAAGCCTCTGTTCCTCAGTCCGTTTTCGTCTCTCTCACTCTCTGTCTCCCTGTGTCCCTACCCCTTGTCATATACCTAACTCACCTTCAGGGAAGGGGAGGGGAGAATTAGGGGCTGGGGGTCCCAGCAGTGTCCAGTCCCAGCTGTCCCAGGTCCTCTATTGGTCCCCAGAGGCCACCTGAGGGTTTAACTCAGAGCCCAAACCCGCAAAAACTAAAATCACACAAAACCGTCCTGCTGGGGGTTGGGACTTCTGCACATGAGCAGCCCATGACGTCGGCCTTCAAGGCTCAGCACGAACACTGGTTCTTGCATGACACACCGTGGGGTCACAGCTCCTTCCCTCAGCCCATGGCCAACTCCCCCCGATGGCACTCGTAAGCCCGAGGGCATTTGTCTGACTTCACTCAGCACCACCTATGTGCTCCTGTTTCCCCAAATGCCCATCCGTCCCCTCACCGGCGCCAGCAGGGACTCGGCAGGCATCTGCCAGATGGCATCAATTGCCCCTTGTCCCCCATTAGGCAACAAGCCTCTGAGTGTATGATGGTGTCCGCTACTACTCCTGCCATCACCGACTGGCTGCTGGGTTTGAGACAGGTTGTAAATAAAAGCTATGAATAAACGACTAGCCTTAGGGGTGCACAACAGACATGCCCAACCCTGGGTGTTCATCCAGTTTGGGATGGGTGTCCTGACCCTCACTATATAGCTGGCGAAGGTGAGTCTCCACGGTCAGCTACCTGCCCCCAGTCAGATAGCCCATGAACACTACCGCTGAGGCAGACCCAGAGCCGTCCGACCTCAGGTGGCATCTTGTCTGCACCCATGAGGGGCGTTCATAGTGAAACCAGGTCCCCAGCTGAGCCCTGGCTCTGCAGGTCTGAGATGAGCAGGGCCCAGGCTGAGCTGGTTGTAGCTGTGCCCCTGTGGTCTGACCCAGGTCCTTCCTAAATAGTTTTAAATGCGCGAATCAATGAGCAGCGGCACGCTCAAGCCCGGCAAAGCAGGGCCAGGGTGTTGGGCACTGAAGCCCATGAGTCTGAACCGCAGAGAGATTTTAATATGCACGGCTCCAAATGGGAAGTGCTGACTCACCTCATGAGTACAAAGTATGAACAAATAAATACAAAATCCGGGCAATACCAAGGCAGGAAAAATTGTTTAGCATGAAATAGGAAGGGGGGTGAAACTGGGAGCAAGGAAGATTGGACAGAAAGGAAGGAGGGGGTGAATGTACAGAAAACCCAAGTTCATTATCCTGAAAGAGAACAGGAAACAGGTCCAGAAACGGGCCGGCCCTGGTGCTGGGGCCATTACAGAGGACGCCGAGACGCGTCCGAGGCGGCAGCGGAAGGCAGCTGCTTCAAGCTCAGGGAGGGGAGATGCCGAGCCCCCACGGGGCTCTCTGGACACTCAGCAGCTGCAGGACACCTGCCCCCGCTGGCTGTGGCAGGGCAGCTTCCCACGGCTGCACAGGGAGACGGGCGGCGGCCTAAGCAAACCCTCCCGGGCACCTCTCCCCGAGTGCAGGGGTCCTGCGGCCCTGTCTTATCATCATGGCTTCGTTTTCGACTGCTCTGAATGACGCCAATGCCCCTTTGAGCAGAGCAGAGGGGAGACCATGAGCTCTGGGGCCCTTTGGAGGCTTGAGGTGAACGCCTCTGTTTGCACTCATTTATATCCACTTGTTCTCTTTGCCCATAAACCTTGGAGTGGAGTGACGCCCAGCACCCAGACATTCATGCAATGGTTCATCAGGTGTCGCCTGGGCCTCACTCTGACGTCACTCTCTACCTGATACTAGAAGGGTGTGTGTGTGCACGCATGTGTGAGACATCCCCGGGAGGCTAGTCCTGGGGTGGGGGCTTTAAGGACACCACCCGTGGAAGGCATTTTGGTCCAGGAACAGCGCGTGGTTTCAGCAGGAGGAGCCCTCTCCCCACGCAGCGGCTCCGGCTGCAGCCTCGGCTGCCTCTACCCTTTGGTGAACTCGTAAGGAAGCTTCTTGGCTCAGGAAATGGCCCACACTTGGGGGGAGTGGCCAGAGCCCGAGACGCATGTATTTCTTTTCCTGCCGTCAGGGAGCAGACGGGGGCCTCACCGTGACGTCACAGGAGTGATTGTCAAAGCCACAGATGAGACCATCCGGTGCCCAGCCCGACCCGAGTCACTGATGCTTCAAATCCAATATTGTTTCTTAAAATAAATACTGAAAATGACTTCCTATCAAAGGAAAGACAGATCTTGGCCATTTAATTATGGCCTGGAGATTAAAGAAGGAATAAAACATACTCTGGCTAAATAGTGGAATTATTTTCAAATTTTGCCCTAGAAAGATGTACTCCATTTACCCAACCCAGAACTTCACATTTTGTAATAAACATATGACGGCTTTGTGAATGCGGAAACATGCGGCATCCCCATCCCAGCAAGGCAGGGACTCCTGGCCGAGCGGGGCAGGCCTTCCCCTGGCCTGTGGTGAGGGGTGGGGCCGAGGAGGGCCCCGCTGTCAGCAGAGGCTGAGGGGGAGCCATAACCTCCCGGTGCTACCAGTTATGCTCACAGCTATGCCAGGAATGTGCGTGCACATCCCCATTCACTGATTCCCTGGTGAAGAAATGGCAGCTGAGAGGGACCCCTCGCGTTCCTCCCATGTACTTGGCATCAGAGCCAGACTGTGCCCTCGCAGCGCTTTGCACCATGTCTGGGGTCCTTCCTAAAGTCACACAGCTCGTGCTAACAGATGCGCAGCCTTTTCCAAAATAAAGGGGTGGGGGGTGGCAACGCTATCTATCATTCATCATTCAGACACATTCAGAGAGACCCTGTGGGGTGCGGGTGCCTGCACGGAACTGGGCATGCACAGAAGCCTCAGACCAGCCCTGCCCGCAGGGACTCAGATGAAGGCCAGTGTAACCCATCCAGCATTACAGGGGCCGTGAAAAATCCTGGAGCTTCTTGTGCTGCCAGCACCAAGGACAGGGACGCCTGGCCTGCATCTCACCGCTGTCTCTTGAATGGTAAGGCGCCCTGCTGGAGAGGCGGTCAGCGTGAGAGGTGCAGCTGGGAGGTGAGAAGGCAGGTTGGCGTGCAAGGAGCCCTGTCCGTGGGCTGCATCCACACACTCAGGATGGCATCCAGAAACCCTCAAGTAGACACCTCACTGAGTGCAGGCCATGAGCCCTACTGGGGCCTTGGACAAGGAGCAGCCCAGGGGAGAAGGAGATTTCTCTGGACAGTAGGACTCACATGTGCAAAGGCACAGAGACAGAAGAGAGAAATGACTGCATGTCTGGAGCTGCTGGCCACTGAGGCACGGAGGGCATGGAGTTCCCGGAGCAGCAGACAGGCTGGGTGTGGGTCCCCGGGGACAGCCAGCCTGGCCAGGCTCTGATGAGGTGCTGCAGGCCCGGACACCACGGTGCTCCTGGGAGGACATCTCACCATCAGGCTGTGTCTGGGAGACAGCTGGCCAGGGCCAGAGAGGGCTGGGAGGCTGGGCCAGGCTCAGGCCCAACGCTGAGGGCGTGCAGCAGGGTGGGGAGGTGGCAGTCCCTTTCAGGGATATTTAGGTCAAACTGACAGAGCTCTGAGTCAACGCCCCTCAGCTGGCCTGGTGAGGAAGGGGATGGGTGGTTTCTGGGCCCTGGGCAGGGTAACCGTCTGGTCGAGCTGGGTGTCTGTGCACAGCTGTTGTGATGTCACACAGTAGGAAACTGG